AAAGAGTGTTTCCCTATTATGTATCTTCAAAGAAGTATAAAAACCACATACACAAGCTCTCTAAAATACAGAGTTACTTAAAATTTTGTATTTGTTAAACAAATTGAAAAAAAAAAAATCACATAAAAAATAAAATACAACCAATTTAAGGATGAGAACCCTTACATTCACCCAAACCAAGGTAAATTTAATTTCAGTTTCAAGGTAGTTGCCTTTTTTAAATCTAATACCCCCTCTAGTGTTTGAAAAAATTATAATCCCAGCAAATGAAGAAACCTTTCAGAGACGAGCAATTCAGAGAACTTTTAATATATCTTCCTTTCAGAATAAAAGAACATCCCAAAGTTATTGTACTTTATTTCCTACGAACACATATTAGCAATACATGGTTATGTTTCATATCTCCACATTATTCTTTGTGCATTTATAATGGTTATTTTTTGACCACACATTTATTTTTATTGCAAGTAGTAACTTTTATTTTTTGCTCTTAACGTCTTTAAACCACTTAATATTAAAAATAAACATTTACAATGTATGGCAAGTTTATTTAGTGTTATAAAAGCATGTTATGACATCATTAGTAGGTGATGGTTCCCAATGGAAAGTCTTTTTGTTACTGTATTTTTTTAATGCAATGTTAGGATTTTCTTCAAATGACCTTAAACAAACATTCTGCTAAATAAGAGTTCTGTGGTAGAATTCTGCATTTCAAAACACGGAAGTTGCTAAAAGAAAAAAAGTGGTACTTACATGACCCCAATGCCACAAGTCCAATGACACTTAAAATAAATAAATAAATAAATAAAATAAAATAAAAAAGATCTCTCAGAATTAACTAACTTCATTCATGTATGAAATAAAACTGAAATAAAACATGTTAAACGTTTCCATTTTTGATACAGATATATGTAAAATCTATCTAGGCAACAAACATGTGCTAGTGAAATGTACATAAAAACCACACACCATCCACACTGCAAAATTCCACTCTGCTGTACAAGTCTAGGACTTGTAACTTGGAATTGTAATGATTTCAACTCTGGATATCACAAAAACCCATATAACTGTTTGTGCTCCATACTCTGCCCCCCTTAGTCAATTAACCAACATATAACATTTTGTATTTTTAGTATTTTTGTATCAATTTCAAAAAAGATACAGAAGGCTGAAAAACACTAGTAGGTGCTTTTACTGAGAAATATACAGCTTGAAGGGGAAAATAAAGCTTTATAGTCATTGCAGCTGATTAAGTCATTATTTAGGAAATATTCCTATGTAGAAAAAGCCCTGATTATTTGCATTAAACATGAATTGGTATTTAAACATGTGGTTACAATCACTGAATCAATATTTCCCACATTTTCCTAAAATAAGCACATGCATAAATATTCCCCTCATTAAAATCCTTAATCTTTTTTATCAGCAATTCATCTTTGCAATCCCCTCTCATGTAAAACTCTTAGAGTAGAAATCCTTTTGCAGTCCAAGAATGATCAGTTACCTAAATATTTCATGGAGTTTCTGCTTGCTAAATTTAAGCATTTTTTTTTCATTTCAAACTTTGTCATTTGCAAGCGTCAATTTTTCAAAAGCCTTCATGCTAAAATAAAATATTCAGGCAAGTAATAATTTAGTTGTGGCCCCAGGAACTAAAACTAAAATCATTTGCAAATGTAAGAGGATATGACATTTATCAAAGCACATTATATTTTTAGTTCATCATTTTAAAAAGTTATATCACTGTAAATTATTGCAGTCACTTTTTCTTAGCACAATTTTATTGAAAAGCTATTTCAAAAGAAATCCATTAAACAATAAATTATGAAAAATACCAAACAAAGGTCTAGATTGGATATTTTAAAATGGTATTACTGATAAATCCAGCTTGGGTGATAGGAAGAGAGGTAGAAAATGTTTAAACAGAAAATACAAAAAATATATATTTATCTATATATAAATTACCTCAGTACAAAAATATTAATACAAAAGGAAAAACACAACCCTGCTGCAAGTATTTACACTGACTTCAATAAAAATTACTAGAAGTATGAAAATTAAGCATTTGCTTAAGTCTCTGCAGGATCATTGATCTAGTCTGCAGAACTGATTGTTTTATTATGGTAAAACTTACTTAAAGCATGTTCCTAAGACACTATTTACTGCTGCTTCTTTTTGCAAGAGCCTCTCCGATTTGACGATCCAGTTCACTTACTATATGGTCTTCGTGATTATACACGCCTGTTCTCAATAAGGTATCTCTTTCTTCTATCAGGCGCGCGAGATAATCGTCCATACTCTCATTTAACTGTCTAGCTTGAAGACCACCCATTCTCCCAAATGAAGCATCCCCAGAATCCTGCAATTGTTTTTTGTCGTCTTGTTGCTTTAGCCTGATGATAAATAAATAAAATAAAATAAATAAATAAAATCTGTACAAGACAAAATGAGCTTCTCTTGTTATATTGTTTTTCCAAACTGACTCTTACAGGAAACTTACCCCACATCCAAAAAAAGGTAACAAAATCACCCTTGCTATATTAAGTTTAAAGGAAGTCTTATACAGCAGATACATATCAAGAATCCAATCATATATGTGTTTATTACAATGATTATGTCAAGGGTTACATGCTAATAAAACTGATTAAAAATCCACACAAGTGGCACAGCCCAGATTATAAATTACTGGATTAATTTTAAGTAGAGGACACCATTAGACAGACTTAAAATATCAGCAAGTGGATGAAAAGCAAGTTGAAATAGATCGTGTTTTATGGTTTTTTTAAATATATATAGCAGTTATTTTATATAGCAGTTCTGCTTAGAAGTGAGGGTAAAAAAAAGACTTGGTGCAGTATAAGAACAATCTTGACAAAAAACTGGGTATGGTGGCCTTTAGCATAGATTTTCTATAATACAACACTGTTACATTTTATAAATGGGCAATTTTTACCTAAGGGACACTAAACTGTGTTCCTACCCTGGATTGACAGCCAATTAAAATTTTGATTTAACTGAACCTTCCCCTACTTTGAGGCAGAGGGAAAAAAATCCTACAATGCTTTAATACCTGTTAAGTTCATTCCTGATATCCTCCAACTCTTGTCGTTCTGTTTTCCCCAGTTCTTTCTCCTCTGCTGCCAAGTAGCGGAGTCTCATGTGCTCCAGCTCTTGCTGCTGCTTTTTGAGACGGGCCATAGCATTCTCCTGCTCACGCTAAAGGGAGAAATCATTTGACAAACTCTTACACACAAAAATGCTAACTCCAGTGATGCCTCCATTGTTTCAGATGGGAATTAAAAACAGAGCTAGTAAGAACTCCACAATATTACTAGTCAGTAACTAAGCAGGCCCAGGGACTCATTGTAATAAATGTTGTGTATAGGTTTGAGGTAACAAATGAAATAAAACTAATGGCTCAATTACGATTGCTGCAAACACATACCTAAACCAGAATGCAATCAAATCTGGACCCTAAATTAACAGCTTTAACCATCAGTGGCAAAAAGGATGTGTATTTAACAGCTGATGGGTCTGGTTTTTCAGACACTTAATGAAACTGATAAACAAAGGTTACACTCATGAACATGGCTTAAGATACTATTAGCAACTGATTTTGCTAGATCACTACAAGCACTTAAAATTCTCTCCTGCAAATATAGGGAGGATGGAAGTAGGTGGGTGTTAAATTCTCAGTGATTACAGAGGACACTCATCCTATTGGTTCTGCAATGTACAACACCAGAAAGCTTGTTCAGCAGAAGCAGTTTTAGTCTAAGATTTGAAGAACTACTTTCTAAGTGGCTTCCTGTCAACCAGCACTGAAAATATAAGACTAAAATTTAGATTTCTTCTGTTTTCAAACAGGGAATAATACTTGAGATAAAAATAACAGAGTAAAAATAATCAGAAAAAAGGGGGCTGGGGTTGGGGGGGTGGTAATGTCCTAATTGTTTTTCACAGTCCCATAAGCTAAGTAGCAACAGCCTGTCAACTATAAAGAGGACTTTCATAAAACAGTACAAGTGACATAATCTAGTTCTTGGTGACATTAATCTATTTTAACCTAAAAAAAATACCTTCTTACTTCTGATTTGTTCTTTACACAGCCCAGTTCGTTAGCTGACCCCGGTATATCTTGCGTGAGGCAAGAGTCTAGTGGGGGTTGGAGGGGAAGAGCATTTGGATGTGTAATTAATTACATATCACACTTCATGGGACACACATCAATCTTGGCAAAGCTGATAATCATAAAGCACGTAACAATGGTCCATTAACATCCCTGTTAAGAATGTTTACTTTGTATTGTCTGACTTTATTTTTATTATTACAGATATAAACTAGATTTATAAAATTACTTCATTCTGTTTCTGTAAGCAAACCAATTCATTACATATTCAACCTATCAACTGTAGAACAGATAGTAAAATCTTATGCCAAGGTAAATCAGTTTTAAAAAACCCCAGAAAAACAACCTTGATCACAATTCCTACCCCTGGAATTTAGAAGAAAGTCTCAAATACTCCTTAGTTGATGCTCTCAATCGGTGCGTCTACACGAGAAGTTTAACAGCAAATTAGTATAGTTTACTGTGATGTGAGCATGTGGCTCTACACATGCACATGCTTACTTCACAGTAAATTTCCCTAATCCTGAGTAAATTTGATGCCTGCAAAGGCAAATGGCTTTATAACACATGCAGACTTCCCTGCACAGCCCAGGCCTGGCCAGGAATGGTTGCAGTCAAGGACAGGTCCTAGCCCCATGCTCTGATTGGACGATTGAGGCACAGGGCTTAGAGACAGCTGCCTCATGGCCTAGTGCTCCCTGCCAGCCTCTGGGCTAGCACTCTGGGTGAGCCTGGAGCTCCCTGCTGTGGCCACAAGCACGCATTACAGGGCTGCAGGGACCTGGGAGCAAATCTGCTCCCTAATCCCATGTGTAGACACCTACCCAAAAACCTTTACTATGCAGTACCTTAATGCACAGTAAATCCAGGCTGGAGTAAATGCATGTGGAGATGTGCCCAATAAGTAGAAAACATCTCAGCCTCTTAACATATCATAAACAAACTACCCTCTTCCCACCCAAGATTATAACTTTAAGGAAGGAATACTGGACTGGTTACACATGAATCCATCAGTTTATAGGCAAAGAACGATATTTTGCATTTTCATACTAACTAAGCCAGCCATCTTGGCACTAGTGGGAACTAGTGAGCCAAAAAGGAAGAGAAGGATAGCACTCATAGGAACTTGCAACTGAAGAGTCCAACAAAAACAGAACACAGATTTTTGTAATGATTAGGAAACAAAGAAAGCAACTATCAGGTTGCAACCTTGAAAATCTCCTCATGATATAGCTATTATTTTATGTTCATGAACAAGCAATTGATCTACAGCAGATGAATGTGAACATGTAAAACCAGAGGTAACTTTCCCTGCCAACTTGTGAACTTGAGCAAAAAAGCCTTTTCAGGATAAAAAACACCACAAATTTATTGTGCTTTATTTGCCTATGATCATATATTGACAATCTGTAGTGCAGGGTCATGTTTCTATGTGGCTTTGGACACTAAAAGTCCTTACCCTACTGAAGTCACTGAGAGGTATGTTATTGACTTCGCCATTGCCAGGATACCAGTCTATGGCCATTTTTAAAATATAATGATAAAGGAAAAAGAGCAAAGTCATCAGCAGAAGAGCAGTTTGGTTGGAAAAAAGTAACTTGTATTGATGAAATATACTTAGTTTCATGCAAGGCATTTGATTGTGTTACGTTTGACTTTGTTGACTTGATTACTAAACTGGAATTATATAAAAACAACATAAGACATCAACCAATCTATAAAGTAGTTAAGTGGTGAATCTAAAAATGTATTCTAAATAGGAAATCATCAAGCATGTATGTTTCTAGTGGGAAGCTAAAGGGAATTGGATGTTGGTCTGACATATTAAGGATATTTTGGGAAGGGATGGAGGAAGAGAAGAATTCAAAATCATCACTAATAAAATTTGAGATGATAGAAAGATTAGGAAAGTGATTAATAAGAAAAGAATGGGTCATTGACAGTGTCATCTGGAGTGCTGACAAATTAGGCACAAGAAAACAATAAGTACTTCAATATGGCCAAATATAAGATCTAGAGTCAAAAGAATATAAACCATGATTACAAGCCAGGAAAGTATTCCATCCTGGAAAACAGTAGCTAAAAAAACCTGGGGGGGGAAAAGGTGCTTGATCTGTTGAATATGAGCACTAAGGATGATACTACAGCCAAAAACAGGATATCATTGAATTTATCCATAGCAAAACCCTGAATAATGAATACAGAATTGATATTATTTCCGTCTTTGGCACTGGTGTGACTGGTGTTTGAGAGTCTAGAATGACATTAAAGAAGGGTGGGGAGGATTCAGAAAAGATTCACATGCCTAATCAAAGAACTGAAAATACTGAAAGATTCCACTTTCTCAACCTACATCTAACTTATCAGAAATGGTGTGGGGGGAGGGGGAGATTTCATAATCAGTAAGTACCTTCATTGCAAAACAGAAATGTGATAATAAATAGCTTCTGAATGTCAGATAAAGATACAGTATCATCCAACAGCTGGAATCTGAAGCAAGACAAATTCAGTTTAGAAATAAAATGAAGTTTCTAAAATAGCAAAGGTAACCAAAACTGAACTATTTAGCACCAGAATTTGTACCAGATTATCAATCACATGGAATTCTTTTAACAACATTTTTTCTCCAAAAGAGATATACTGTAAGTCAAGCACTGCTATAAATTTTAAATCCTACAGCCTGTGTTACACAGGTCAGATTACATGATGATCACCAGCCTCTTCTGGCTTATAAAATGCACAAGTGTCTGGATGAAACTTCGGTAGAATGAAGTAGTCTAAAATGAGAAATATTCTAAATAATGTGAGTATTGTAAATAATGTGAAAAACTAAGTGCACATTGAATATAAATTTCCACAACTGACCACAGTTTCTTAACTGCTCATGTTCATAGTTCACTTTACCTGCCAGATATGGCAAATGCCATGAAGAGAGGTACTTAGTGTGAAAGAAATGTGAGTGAAAAATATTCTCTATCAAAGCAAAGATCAAAATTCTGACTGCTTCTGTAAGACAGGAAGAAGTGCCTTATTTCCTCTTCTATAACTTGCCTGACAATATTGACAAATGGATTAGAATAACCTGACTCCAAAAGACTGTTATGGATTCTGGAGAAGGGGTTAATATCTTTAAGATATTAGTTGGCCCTAAACTAATTGACAGTTGAAATAGCTAATTTTTGGGTCACTGTCTCTGTCATGAAACAAGCCCAGCTAGGTATCCCAGCTCCTCAAACTTGTTTTTACCTAGAACTTAACTACAATGATTTCTGGAGAGAAAGTTTTTGACTCCTAAGAACCCATTTTCAGCTTCTTAGAAGAAGCTCAGAATTTGAAATAAAAGTTCTGGAAAGGTTATTGGTTGTAGCCATGTTGGTCTAACATTTAATTGGTGTAATAAAAGTTGGTCTAATTTTTAGTTGGTTTCATATTTAGGAGGTATAATAAAATATACCACCATGTACCCAAAGAAACTTGCCTGGAAAGGTTAGGCATCTTTTTCCTAGTCCCATTACAGGAGAAGAAACACATGGAGAAGCCCAGAGTAAAGGATAACCATGTTTAGTATCCAGATCTCATGGTATTCTGCTTGGCAAGTGTAGAAATTGCCATGTGGTTGAGACAATAGAATCATTACAACTGTCTGCCAGTTTGGAGATGTATTGCCCTGGAACAGCTGACTAAGGCAGAATATGTATTAGCCCCTTATGAGGTCCTCCTTAATAGACAAGAAAGCTCTTATTAAAGCATCATGCTACAGTTCAAGAGAAGAGGACCACTGTGAAGCACCTTGGAAGAAAAGAAACTAAGAAGACCACCCAAGCAATTAAACTGAGATTTATTGGTCTGGTAGAGAACTGAAAGTGAGCTGCTGCAATACACCTTTGGAGGTAATTTTCCTGGAGTGTGTTACTGGTCCCCTCCCCCCACCCATACAGGACAGGAATGGTCTATAAGCAGCTTTTATCCAATATTTAGAGACATGTTTTCCCAGCAATGTTAGCACTGGTAAACTGGGTGTAGCATGAGAATTTTTGTACAATTATTTTCTTAGCAGATGAGCAAAGCTTAAGTCAGTGGTTTTCAC